ATTATATTTACTGTATTATATGTTGCTGGGCTAAGTTTTGAAGAAATGACTAATTGCTAAGTTTAATGTTGCGAAAATCTTATAATTAAGATGTATTTGTTATAAAGCTGGAAGGGAGGTGAGAAGTCACTATTAGGGAGATAATGACTGTATTAATATTAAATATAAGATAGTTAAAAGATAAACTTTTGACATTTATAACAGAAATTAGAAAATGGAAATTATAGAGGTTAGAATCTAACAAGATAGGTTGATGAAATAAATATGAAAGGTTAGAAAGAAGAAGGGGTATGCCGTAGGTAACATTTATAGAAGTTGTGTAAAGAGATAAAAATAATATAGAGTACACAACATTCAGGGGAAATTAATGGAAATTGAGAATACGTAATTAGTGATTCATTTTCCTTACTATAAAAGTTTCCACCATGGATAAAAATATGACATGGAATAGAAGATAACTCATAGATGAATGTAGTAGAAGAACATTGAAACTTGGTGATGTGGGGTGTGGATATTTGGGACGCAGGGTGTCTAAGATGCTAGGACTGGTTCTGTTTGGGTTGCAGGGCATTTGTGATGCTAGGACTGGTTCATTCAAGTTGAAAGTGAGGTTGAAAATGAGGGTCGACCGACTGTCTAGGCTCAGTGATTGCCACTCGATTGTAGTGGCGCTCACTCCTAGTTATCTAGGACTATATATTTACTTTTGTTGGTGTTTAGGATTTAGTTTTTATTGTAATTTATTTTGAGACAGCTGTTGGTGTCTCTTTTTTCGCTTCACGCTGTATTCTAGCAATCCAAGTGGAGCTCCGACTGTATCTTGGCCTCCAGGTGGGATTTATCCTTCCTACACCTTTCCTCCAACCTTTTCCAACGTTCCCACATCCCTTTCCCTGTTTTCCATGCTACCGCTACCTTCTAGCTTGCGAACCGAATCCCTTATCACCTTCTTGGAGGTCCAAACCTCTGACCGGCGTCATCTCCATCCTAGATCCCACCCTAGTTCGAGTGTGTGTTGTTGTTTTGATGCAATTTCAGATTTTTCTGTTATTATGTTGTAATTTCAGATTTTGAAGCTAGTAATAATATTTATTTTCAGTTGTATGTTTGTTAAATTTTGGTATCATTTGGTATCTGAGCTAGCAAATCCTAGTTCTATTCGATGGCCATCAAACCATAGTCAAATCTTGACCTAACCCTAATTGACCCTGTTGATTTCAAAAATAGCATCCCTACATTTTTTCTCTACACCGTAAACTAGCCTCGTACACTTTTTTTCGCCTCCCAAACCTAAATCCTAGTCATGCCGCTGAGAAGATAAGTGTCGGGAGCCGATTGAGAACTTAACATAGAAGAGATGCAGCGGAAAGGCTGCCTACTTCAGCAAACACTTGCTGAAATTGAGGAAGAGAATTATGAAGAGATCACTATCGATCGTGATAGTGAGATTTGAAGAGTAGAGGGGGAGAAAATTTTGAATCCCTTCTATAGGGATGGTTCCCGTGTAGGATAGGCCGCGATGCTTTGAGATTTAGTATCAGAAGAGGCCGGGGGGATGGATTGACTTTTGGAGGACATAGATATATGGGGGTAAGGGTAAACTTACCGGATTTTAAGGGGAGAATGAATCCAAATGACTTAATTAGGTGGTTACAGACCGTTGAGAGGATTTTTCAAGTATAAGGTGGTGCAACTATTAGGAGAGTAAAGTTTGCTACTATAAAGATAAAGAAGAGTGTCTGTTTGTGGTGGGAGTATCCGAAGAGAGTGAGATAGAGAGAAGATAGGAACATGATCACTACTTGGGAGAAGATGAAGAAGTAGATGCAGAGGAAGTATCTACCTGCACACTACCGTTAGAACATGTTCTTGAGGCTACATCACTTCTGGCAGGAGTTCTCAGCAAAGGAGTTCATAGAAGAGTTTGAGTAGCTCATGCTGAAATATGAGTTGAGGGAGCCCAGGAGAACACCATAGCCAGTTTTTTGTGAGGTCTGAAATCAACCGACAACTATGTCATTCAATTGCAATCTTTTTAGTTATTGAGTGATATTCAGACATTGGTCCTAAATGTGAAGAAACAATAGAAGCAGACCAAAACTCCTTTGTCGTTCAACAAACACCCCGAGTAGTAGCTAGTAGTACAACTGAGGAAGGTGTGAAAAATATCCAGAAAGATGATGGAGCTAATTATAGTGGGAAGAAGCCCAAGCAGAGCATTACAACCCACACAGAATGTTATAGATACAGACACACTGCATCCAGTTGACCTACTATCAGTGTTGTTTCTTCCACTGAGCAAGGAGTCGTAGAGAAAGTGGATAGCAGTACTATAGACATATAAGACGGTGACGAGGTGTAGGAGTACCAGCTTCCAGCTAATGAGGGTGAGATGCTTGTTGTTCGAGGGGTACTTTAGACTAAGTCCATGAGAGAGTAGCAGAGGCTTTGCCTCAACATCTCTTATACCCATTGTACTGTTAATGGAAATGTATGTGACTTTATCATGGATTGAGATAGTTGTGAGAATGTGATGTCTACACAGATGGTGAATGTGTTGAGCCCTCACGATTCAAAGATATTCTCATCCATATTCCTTGACTTTGTTGAAGAAGGCGAACATGGTTAGCACTGACAACGATGCTTCATAGAGTTTTCTACTGAGGATCATGTGTGATGTAATGTTGTACCCATAGTCTTTTGTCATATCCTATTTGGGAGATTGTGGCAGTTTCATTACAAGACTCATCATGATGGTTGCAAGAGCACTTACTCATTGATCAAGGTGAAAAACAAAGTTCTACCTTCTAAGGAGTCTGAAATCATTGGTGCTCTTGCCACGGGAGATGTGCCAATGGGATCAATTTTGGTCATGTTAGAGGGCAGTGAGACAGAAGAGCTGATATCATACACATAACAACTATGGAAAGAATTTTAGGATATCCTGACCGATAGCTTACCAACAAGGCTGCCACCGTTAGGGGAAGTTCTACCCATCTTGATTTCAGAGAGGAATGAGTCAACCTTGAGCTACTTTTGGAGGACTATGGAGTGTGCTTGACACGAAGTTTAAGTTCAGTTCTACAATATATGGTTGGGTAGATGGAGATGACTACTCGCAATTAAGAAGCCTTCTCAGGTGTTTTGTGGGACAATACATTCAACAGTAGATCCAGGTGCTTCTAGAGACGCAGTAGAAAACCTTCATATCCTGGGAGATTATTTTTGTTATCTTCAATTAGACCGACCTGACTCCATACGAGAAGACAGAAGCTTGGACGAATGAGGTCCCCCAACTTTGAAAAATTGAAATGGGGTGTCTGGGACAATTACATCGGTTCAATCCATGGGAAATTAAGGGTCAATTAGCACTCTAGGCTTAATGATTGCCACCCAATTGGAGTGGGGCCCACCCTAGTTTTCTAGGATTATATTTTGATTTATTGGTGTTTAAGGTTTAGTTTTTGCTGTGATTTGTTTCGGGACAGTAGTCAACGTCTCTTTTTTCTCCATAGGTTGTATCTTAGGGTTTCAAGTGGTGCTTCGACGGTATTTTGGGCTTCAGATGATGTTTTTCCTTCGAACCCCTTTCCCGCAAGATTTTCCACATGTTTCAACATCTTTTTCCCCGTTTTTCTTGCTAACACTAACCTGAACAACACCTCCCACCGCGCTATTCTTATTTTCGCCACTTTCCCTGTTGCAGCCACCGTCTTCCCCATCGTTGATGCCATCTTCCAGCTTGCTAGCCAACTCCCTTACCACATTCCCGGAGATCCAAAACCCTAGCCGACACCAACTCCACCCCAGATCCTACCTAGTTCTAGTGTGTATTGTTATTTTGTTGCAATTACATATTTTCGTTTTGTTTTGTTGTAATTTCAGATTTTGAAATAATTAATAATATTTGCTTTCTCTTGGATGTTTGTTAAATTTCTGTATCACTTGGCACACTTGGCTTTGTTGATTTCTAAAATTTGAAGTAGTATAATATTGGAAACTTAGGGTTTTACAGTTTTCACATCATAATCCTATGCATGGTGAGGGGGCATAAGCATATACTAATAATGATAAAATGGACCAAAATGCTCCCTTGACTATTTGAAGAGGATCATTTTAATTCCATAGCTTATAAAAGTGTCAAATTAGTTCTCAAACTTTTGAAATTATGGCTAAAATAGTTCCTCTATTGAAATTGGGGTCAAAATTAATGGCAAGAGTGGAAAATGCTTGCAAAGGGTGAAAGGCTATTTTTGGGTTATTATTATTATTTTTATTTGCCCTTGTCGTACCATGCAAATAGATCTAGCAAACCATTCTTGCAAGCTCTATGAGGTGAGCACGAGTATCAGGGTTCAACCTTAGTGGCTAGGTGAATGCTTTTGTCAGCAACGGAGCTTTCTCAGTGACGCGAGCGTAAACGAAGTAAACACAGCTTGGATAGGCAAGTGCGAGCGTCTGGTTCAAGCAGTACCTTACTTTGGTTAACTAAGGTTATTAATAAATTAGATTTACTAAAGTTAATAAGAAAATATATACTCTAAAAATACTCCCATTTTTAATACCTTAAATATCAATTTATGTTAGTTTGGATGGTAGGACTGTTTAGCCCCAAGTTAGAGAGTTTGTGGACTATTTTGACACTTTTATAGACTCAGACCTTAATGTTTTTCTGCAAATAACTGGTGGACCTTTTTGGTCTTTTTCTCTAGTAATCGTTCAAAGTAAAATCTTTTTTTTTTCCTATTTGCTTTTGGACTAAAAAAAAAAGATGACACATCAATGAAAAACTTTGATGATAGACTACTGTACCTAGTGGTCCTGTTCAAAAGCTATTCATCAAGTACCAAGTGTGGCAATAGTTTGTTGTTGCGTGCACTACCAAAAGAATCCAATGTAATGTTGCTGTTTAACCTTTTTGTAGCTAGTCCAATGCCATGTAGCTGTTTAACCTTTTTGAAAGTTACGATACGACTTACTCTATATTTTAATTCTCCTTCATGGGAGTCTGTGTGGCAATCCAGAACTTCATTAAACTAAATGAGGTTTTTGTAGTATCTTTTAAATTTCTATTTCCGATGTCTACGCTAATACATTCAAGGCAGTGTTCTTATACTGGTGGATTACCTCCTCATTGTTCTTTGTTCTTTATCTGATCCACAGAACCACTGGGACAATTTTGTCACTGCTGAAGATTTTTCTTTCCTATCTGAGCATGGCATAAACACTGTCAGAATTCCTGTTGGATGGTGGATTGTAGAGGACCCTGATCCTCCACCCCCATTTATTGGTGGAACCTTGGCAGCCCTCGACAGAGCATTCTCATGGGCACAGTAGGTTCAGTTTCCCACTTATCTATTTTACGCTCCGCCTCCATTATTTCATCTATTTACTCTACTGGCTTCGTGTTTTCTAGGGTCTACAACATCAGGTGCATTATTGATCTCCATGCTGGTCCTGGTTCCCAAAATGGAATGGAGCATAGTGCTAGCAGAGATGGTTCTGTAAACTGGTCGTCACCGGAGTTCGTCTTGCAGAGTCTGGATGCCATTGAGTTTTTATCTGCAAGGTATATCTCAGTTGTAATAAGTGACATTTACATACATACCACCCATGTATAAGTTGAAAAACGGCACTAGCTTGTTCGAAATTTTCGAGCGTTATATCAACAGTACTAACTATTTTACTTTTTATGATATACTTTTTTTTTTAAATATTAAAATACTTATAATACTTTAAATATTTGCTTGGATAATTTAAAAGTGTTCGATCATTTAATTATGATGGTAAGACATAAACATGCATTTTGCAATATAAAAATTTTCTAATGCCTTGCTTAACTATAAAGCTAAATCATATAAATTTACATACAAAAGACAAACAAAATTGTTTCCTAAATTAGAGATTGAGTATCTTAACCAAACTGCAATCAAGAATAGGACAACTTGATCGCACCAGTAACTATGAAACTTTATTCCATTTTAAGCAATCTATGAAATATAAATTTTTAATTTATAAAATTTTAAGTTATGACTTAAACCTAAACTAAAATAATTTCTAATATAACTTTTAACTTAAAAGAACTACTCATAGGAGTTTAAAAGTTTACAACTTCAATTAAAAGTAGAATTGCCACAGAAAATTATCAAAAATCAGATGCTTCTTCTCAAAACCTAGCACTAACCCTTGTTCCCCCCTTTGGCTCAGAAAACACGCGGCCTCAAGCATATTATTATTTGTTTTTGTATTACTAAATCGTTTATCTGATGTACCTAACCTAACTGGAAAGAGTAAGCTTTTGCCCATCAGAAATGACATTTTATTGATAAAATCCATATCATATGGTGAAAAAAATTTTAGATTTATGTTCCTGTTTATATCTAGGACATTATTTGATTAGTAGTTTATTAATTTGGTTTGGGACTTCCTGTTGCCTATGTAGTCTGCGCTATAATAAGAAGCACAAATACAACTACATGGCTGCATAATGTCTTGGACCTGCTAGATATTTGAAAATTTTGATGCTAATTACACTGGTATATATGCCAGTCTTTTTTTGTTTTAGTTTTGGTGGATCTTATTGAATATGGTATTAAAGTGTAGAAAAGACAGCTGTAACAAAGAAAAGAGAATAGACCCTTGATATCAGAAATAATAGGTGTTTAAAATGATTTTTGTAGAACATATTTTTCTTCGCGTAACACTCAATAAGAATAAATAAAAGATGAGGTTTATCAAACCAACCCAAATAATTTGTATAAGACTATCGATGTTGAGGATTGTGAAGAAAAGCGATGAATCCTATGAATCCTTAAGGCCACTAAACCCCAAAGCAATTATATTTTAGTTCTTTCACTGTCTGTCTCTGGTTTTATCACTTTCTTTCAATGGCTTTATGGCTTGGCATATTCCAAAGTATTCTTCTTGGAAATGGGATTATTCATATCATTTTGTGTTCATTTACATGAGATTAAATGTTGTATGTCACGATTCGATGTTCTCGTCTATGTGGACATTATATATCAAGAAATAAGAAAAAGTGTTGAAATAATCCCCTGATTAATTGCAAAGAGTTATTTAAGTCCGAGAGTCTATAATAAAAACAAATTAGTCCCCAAACACTTTTAATATGGGCTGGAGTACTCCCCATAAAAGACTATTTCAGCTCCAATTTAAAAAGCCTGGGGATTAATTTAACATTTTTATAAATCATGAGAATAAAATAGCCCCATGTAAACAGACAAATTTTTATTTTGAGGTTTCCATTTTTTAAAAGGAAAAAGAAACTGAGCTGACTAATTTTCATTGCAAGTATATAATTCATACTCGATCTAATTAATTCTGTTCAAATTCTTGTGATTTCCCATAAGAACTCAATTCTATTTCAAATTCACAATATCATTACATTCCTAAGCATACAATTCAGATCTTTGTTTGAATTCGACATTCTGTAATACAGCTTCTATTACTACTTCAATCATATGGTTCATGTATTTGCTTTGTTCAGCTAGAAATAATATTTCCTAAATTTTATACATAATTTTATAACAAAATACTTTATGAAAAGGATTAATGTGAACTCACTTCTTCAATTTAAAGGTATGCAGATAATCCAGCTCTTTTGGGTATTGAGCTATTGAATGAACCTTCTGCAGCTGCAGTTCCAATCGATATTTTGATATCTTATTACAAAAGTGGTTACCAAAAAGTACGGAACTATTCTTCTACTGCTTATGTTGTAGTTTGTCAAAGGATAGGCAATGCAGATCCCATGGAGCTATATGAAGCAAACATTGGGGATAAAAATGTTGTGGTAGATGTACACTATTATAACCTATTTGATGCTTATTTTAATGATCTAAATCCATTACAAAATATGCAATTTATTTACAACAGCAGGAGGCCACAGTTGCAGGCGCTAAATAGCGCAAATGGACCTCTTGTTTTTGTAGGTATGGAGCTTACTTCTTGTTTTTAATATTTAAGATTGCAGACCAAGCTACATCCTAATTATTTTGTTTAGTCATTTTTATTAACTAAGGGTTTGTTTGGGATCAATTTTATGTTTTGTTTTTGTTTTTGTTTTTTTAAATTTTTTTCTTTTATTTTAAAAACATGTTTGTTCAATATTGGTTTTTACATACTTTTATTTTTTGCTTCTAAAAATAATCTAACTTATTTTTGAAAATACTCAAAGGAATTTTTTAATGTTTTGAGTTCTTTTAAAGACTATCATATCTTAATCAAATATGCTAAGCATAATCCTAATTATTTTGTTTAGTCATTTTTATTTGGGATCAATTTTATGTTTTTTTTTTTGTTTTTGTTTTTTTTTAATTTTTTTATTTTATTTTAAAAACATGTTTGTTTAATATTTTTTTTTACATACTTTTATTTTTTGCTTCTAAAAATAATCTAACTTATTTTTGAAAATACTCGAAGGAATTTTTTAATGTTTTGTGTTCTTTTAAAGACTATCATATCTTAATCAAATATGCTAAGCATATTTTATTGAAACTCAAAATATAAATAAAAAATAAAATAAAAAAATAAGAAACAAAAGTGGTCCCAAACGCCCCCTTTTGGATCACTTTTGATTTTTATATTTTTTATTTTTTGACTTGTTTTATTTTATGTTTTTACTTGGACTAAAACGTGTTTGATATGTTATAACATATTTAGTTGTTTTTAAAAATAGTTGTGTTTTTAAAAAAAGTTAAAAAAATAAATTTTAGATGTTTTAAGTATTTTTAAAAACAAGTAATTCTTTTTTAAAACAAAAATAAAAAACATGCAAAATAAATACTAAACAAACGTACTTTTAAAGTTAAAGAAAAAAAAATAAAAATAAAAATAAAAAATTAAAAAAAATAAAAAATAAAAAGATCCCAAACAAGCCTTTAGTTTTGTGTTTACTAATTCTGCATCAAGTTTGAGGACACTTCTTCTCAAAATGAAAAATTGGATTTTTATGCTGTTCAGGTGAGTGGGTGAATGAGTGGAATGTGACAAATGCCTCTCGGATTGAGTATCAAATATTTGGAAGCACTCAATTGGAAGTTTACCGTAGTGCCACTTTTGGTTGGTCATATTGGACCCTCAAGAGTGAAGAGAAACATTGGGACTTTGAGTGGAGCATTAAGAACAAATATCTTGTGCTTGGTATGTCCTCATTTTGTTCCATTTCCTTATATTTAAGTCTTAATCATTGCACTTTTCTGTTTGAGGTTTCATTGGACATATTCATTCAAGTGATTTGGTACAGGGGAATTTATATAAATTCCATAAAATTCTTATGTGTTTATATAACATTTAAATTTTTAAATTTACTTGTATGACACTCTAATATTTAAATTAGATCAAAATTATGACTAATATTAACTTGTCTAAAGTTAGATATACCTTGTTGTGCTTATATTTTGATGTGACTTAGATGCTAGGGCGTTAAAAAAAAATATAAAGATTTAGGTATTAGCTAATGTAAATGCATAAAAATACTATGATATGTTTGTAAATCCCCTTCGCTATATCTTCTATTTGCAATATCTTTTTTACCTTCAATTTAAACATAATATATATTAAGTAACAAAGTATCAACTATATTAAAAAGTTAGGCTCTCTTTTTGACGGCAGCAATTTTATTTTGCCTAAAGTTGTTTGAATCTTTTTTACATCATTTTGGTTATTTTGATAGGAAATTTTGACTTTATATTTTATATGCTTCATAATTTTTAAAATTAGAAAAATATGCTCGCTGTTTCAATTCTTGGGAAAATGTGCTAAAAAAATCATTCGAATTGAAATGCCCCCTCTCAAACTGTTATGTGACCTTTTGAATACAAGAGTTTTACGACTCTCTCTTTTTCATAGCCTTATTTTGATCCAAATATTGTAGAGTGAGCATCTTCGACTTGTGGCAAATGATGGTCTTTTTTGTAGTCTTTTTATAGTCATTTTTTTTTAAGCATATTACAAACTTGATGAAAAATTGGTTTCACATTTTAAACAATAAATCCCTTTACTGTTAGAAACTTATTATCTTATATCCAACCCTGTTCATGTTTAAATTATCAATAAATTATTATAAAACAATTTGAATAAACTTTGAACGATGATAATCTTCAAAATGATTGACCCACCATCTTTGCCTATTTTTTATGAGACTTTAAGTTATTTATAGCTCGATTGAGCAATCTTCAAGTTATATTTGATGCCTTATTAAACCTTTTTTGAGCATCTTCAACACATGATCGAACCTTCATTGAATATTTTCCAACTCTTTTTTTGAACATGAATAAAGTTGTTCATGTTCGAAGAAGGTTTGAAGATAATTCGATCATACATGGAATTTGTTCAAAGAAGATTTAAACAAGATTTGCTTATGAATCAAAGATGGTCTGAAGATAGGCAAGTAGCAAATTTCTCAAGGGCTACATGGGTGAGGATAAAAATTTCAAAAATGCAGCGCTGGAGAATGCTTCTATGAAATGCATTGATAAAGATGTTGCGTTAAGGTTTGTGTTGTGCGACTTTGTAGATACTTCTGCAATTATAACATAGTGTTGTCTTTACTAAAATGCTTCTCCTTCTTGATGACCTTGTGATGACTTGGCTTTTCTTAGATGCTCAAGGAGAAGTCAACTGCAAGCTAGTTAATTTCATTATAAGAATGGATGAAGCATCTCGCTGCCGTTATTTTGGAGATAAAGATTGTTCTAATTGGGCTAAATAATAATGAAAAAAAAAAAATGGAATAAAAATTAGATGCTCTGACTCATCTGGAATTAAGTTTTTTTACATGGTGTACATCAAGAGAGAAAAGAAGTGGAGCAGGAGAGAGGTGCTTTCCAGTATGGCTTCATTGTATAGATAAGGAGAGGGAGATGTCAAGGGATCAAACTATTAGAATGAAGAGAGCAATTCAAGGGACTCTAGAAGATTCCACTGCATCTAGAAATAAACTAGAAAGAAGAAGAATATTCTAAGGAATTCTAGAAGGTTCTACATAATTTCAGAAATATGCTAAAAGAAACACACTTCAAGGGAACTCTAGAATATTCTAGAAAGTTATAGAATCATTTATATGTAAAGAATAATGTAGAACTATATAGAAATTAGTAAATTCTAATATAATCTAGAAAGTTCTCGTAGTCTTGGAGAGGACTATAAATAGGAGTCCCTCCCCTCATTTTGTATCTATTCAAGAACCATCCAAGGTTCGCAAGCATTCAAGTGTTGTAATCACTTTTTTCTTAGTGAAGTGTTTCTCTATCCAATACTTATCCCTATTATTTTTCTAAGAGTGTTTCGTGCTTGCAAGTTCAAGCGTTGCGAGGGTTAGACTGATTTAGTGCCAAGGATGAGCGTTGAAGTCACACGAGTGACTTGAGATAAGTTAATCCGTGACAATATGCTTCCTTAAGTTGCTTGTACATGTAGAGATATTTGACCATGGCATGTTTTCCTTTAAATTTTTATGAACGTGAAGGAGGGGTAACCTCATTGGCTAACCATAAATGAGGTCCCAATGCTTACAATAAGTCATTTTAAATATAAGAAAAATTAATTTATTAAAGTAGTTCGTGTATGTATATAATCAGATAATTTGTATCTTATTTACATTGATGATTGTGGAGTTTATGTCATACAACTTTTAATATACCGGATTTTAAATAAAAAATCTCTTAAACTTTACATTGATTAGATACAATTTTATTGGGCTATCCATAAGCTGATTTATTCCATAACAACATAAAGTTATACTGCATTTTATGTCTTATCCATGATCTAAATTTTCTTTTTTATTAAAGTTTGATATTTGCTTTTGAATATGCTGCTACAGGTAATTCTCAGAAGAATGGCATTGGCAACTGCACCGCGCTCGTTGTATCATTTTGGGCAATTATTTTGGCCTTCTATGGATCCTTAGTACCATAAACAATACGCATGGAGTACATCAGAACGTAGCAGAAAAAATACATTAACATCGATTCTTTTTTATTGTTATTTTTGCTATTCTTTTGCGGCTTTTGTCCTGAATAAATTTTCAAATTAAAATAGAATATTGAATGATACTGAATGCATTTTATATTTTTTGCCCATTAATGAAAGTTATTTCAGCCTTGTAGGCTCTATCTACACTTGTGCAATGGACATTGAATGCATGCTGATAAACTGGGAGATGATTAGGAGTATTAAAAAATGTATTTTTATTTTTTAAATATAGGAGCATTTACGTATATATGACAAAATTCTTATGTATTTACACATCTAATATATAAAATTTTCATATTTATATGCATATCACTCAAATTTTTTACATCATATAAGAAATTCCATTATTATTAACGTTCTAGAGGTGAAATGTGCCTTTTGATGCATAGGTTTATAATATCAAAATGTTATAGATGCAAATGTGAAAGTTTAGGTCTTATATATGTAAAGTGGCGTATCCATGTCTTTTATAACGGGGAAACAAATTAACTATTTTAAGAGAAATTATAACCAATCAATATCTTAAAAAGTTAGACGGGACACAAATTATATATGCTAATGAAAAGCATATTTAAAAAATAAATATATTTTTCTTTGTATCGTCCTTATCAGTAATTGGGCATTTGGTCTACTAGAGCAGTTAGAAAAAAGAAATTAATAGGTATGAAGAGAATTTTTCAAATTAAAATAAATTTAAATTTTAAAATAAAGAAACAAATATTATAAAAATATAAAGCTATACAAAATTAAATATTTTAATTTGAGCTTAAAATAATGAAATATATGAATAGTTAATAAAATATAAAGCTTGAAATAAGTATATATTTGAATTTATAAAAATGAAAATAGGTATACAAAATATACCTCAACTTTATTTTGTATACACAAATTATAAAACATAGATTGTTGTAGACTAAGTGGCCTGCCAAAGGAGGGAGCTAGTTGTTTGATGACTAGCTTGCTTTTTTTTATTTTTTATTTTAACTTTTTGAGAAAATGTGAGGGTCACACCGAACTTTATAATAAAAAAAAGTACAAGTTGATGACTCAAACAAAAAAAAAAAAAAAAAAAAAAAAAAGATAAAAATTACAACACAAAAAACAAACATAAACCAGAAATCTATAAACCAACACTCAAAAAAAAAAAAAAAAAAGTGAGAGAAACTCAAACAAGAGCTCCCCTAAATAAGAACTAACAAATTAGAAGTTCCTAAACATTGAAGATGCTCAATCAGGACAAGCAAACCAAGCCTCAATCACAGCTTCACGATGAAGAAACTGATCCAAGAAAATATCTAGCCAAGGCCAAAACTATCAAAGAAAGACAAGAGCCAACCCAACATCAACGTCTCTAAACAACAACTTTAGCCAATCGAAACAAAATATGAGGTGGAAGCATAGAAGCAACAACAAAACGAACCAATCATTAAGGATGAGAGAATCTATCCATCCTACAAAATCCGAAGAAAGAACAACTCCAAGAGAAGCACCCTTACATCACATATGTAGAAAGACCAACCAAAATGAACTCAATAATGAAAAGTAGACAGGGAACATAAAATAAACTAATGACTGAACTCATACTAACATAATCAACAAATAATGAAAGAGTCAGTACACAACACCGGAAAACTAAAGAAGGATAAAAAAATAGGAATTTTGCAGCACCAAGAATAACATAACCAATAACAAACAAAGAAGGTTCTAACTTTCTTGTAATAAAAAAAATTAAAATTTCATTCAAGTATTTTAAATAAATTAAAATAAAAATTTTAATTTTTTTAAAAAAAGTTTGAATTTTAATACATGATATGAATTCATCAAAGCTAAAACTATTCTCTGCAAAATGAAATGATCAAGAATAAGATATTACCAAATAAAATAATAACAAGAAATAAGACAAAAATAAACCAAAAAGAAGAAAAATAAAACCATCATAATTTATAAGTCAATGGAAAAAAATAAAACCAACAATGCATAAATAAAAACCAAAAAACAAGGCAAATGAAATAAAATAATAACTGGAAAAAGGAAACAAACACATAAAAAAACACAAAAAAAAAATAAAGCAGATAAAAACTCACCAAATAAGGAAATGACACATCAAACCAGCCAAAAACCCCACCCCATAAAAAATTAGAAAGAAGGGCAACAACCCAAAAAAGAAAATAGAACATCAAATAAACCTTAAAATAATCTAATACACAAAACTAACAACATAGAAAAGAACAAAAAGAGATAAAACAATCATAAGAAAAAAAACAAAACCAATCAACATCAGAAAGTAAAATAAAAGGAAAACAAAACTAATAAAAACAAAAAATGAGAAACCGTAGAGACATAAAAAGAAACCATCAAAATAAATACAAGAAAAAAAAAACTTAAATCAAATTCAAAAGAGATGATAACCAACCAAAAAAAAAAAGATAAAAACCATAAAAATCAATAATATGATCAGGTATATTCCTCTTAAATTTTCAATTCCTGCTACTGTAAAGAGTCATCCAGTGAATATTACAAATGATCAAACCCAAAGGAGTAAACTTTTAAAAATTTAGAAATCCTCTCAAATCAAATGTTATAAGTCATAATTTGATGTCTTCGGATAAACTTAATTTCTTCTTTCTAGTTTATCATGTGTAGTGAGTATATTTCTTATTGAATTGATCTTTATTTTCGTGTGATGAGTATATATTTAGACTAAATTTACATGTTATACTAGCAATATAACTTATTAAAATTCATTGTGACTCCTTAGGACTAGAAAGAGCAGTGGCAAAACAACATAGAAAATTCACACTGTGTGAATGACTATGAAAAATGAGTCATGAGGCAATGCAACTTAGGGAGATATGTATCAATATAGTTTGAATTATGAGTTCCACAGGTGACAGTCGAAAATAATTACCTAAGTTTGAATCACATTTACGCACTTCGAAAAGGATAAATGAGTCTTATGTTGTTGTTTTCACTGCCACATTACATTTTTAGTAGTAACACATACAATCTACCTAGGAAATCACAAGAGAGAAGTACCTTTATCAATCTTGAATTTCACCTGCTTAATTGATCTAAGCAAGTTTAAATTAGGAGTATAAATATACTTAGGAGTAGCTGTTAGAAAAATCATATTTAGCGATCATCCAAAATAAGGTCTTGAAAGTAGTAGGCTAGAATTCACCCTTAAGTTGTTTTTACTACGAAGCCTCTGCCACTTTCCTTGTGGGATCAACATTCTAGACTCAAATAGAGCACTATATTACAAAAGTTATACATGCACTTACGTAAGAACCCTGGCACTTAGGTGGAGATTGTGAGTTAAATTAAATTATCATTAAAGTGTTGGTAGCTATTGGGTCCGTCAAGCTTTCTGACGTCGTTGTCAAGGATGGAAGGAAGGAGGGAAGCATTGATAAGAAAATTTAAGGATAATTTTAGTTGAATATGTAAGACTTAGATTTGGAAATAGTAGTAGTACTTAGTAATTTTAGTTATTGTGTGTATTTTTAAAAGAAAATACAAAAAAAATACCAAAAATATTTTTGAGTGCCTGATATCATTTTATATATATATCATATAAGTTAAATTTTTATAATTGAATGCATAGTTCAGGAGTTGCAGACTTTGAAACCTATGATTTAGAGCTAGAGGGAACCGTTAGGAGGATTAAAAAACAAAGAAGTCTTCAAAAAATTTGTTGTGGAAATGGCAGATCATCCAGTTAATGAGGATCCGGATCCAATCATTGAGATCATAATGTTAATAGACCTTTGAGGGATTATGCGAACCTCATGGTTTATGAAATTCATTTAAGTATACAGACCCCTACCGTAGAGGATTACTATATCTGGATTAGTCTTTAACGATTTTGAACTTCAATAGCCTCCTAAAGTTAAAAACTTAATACATTTCTTTACCTTGATCATTTGTATTAGTTTTCAAAAAAGATTTTTCATAGTCTCAATTCTTTAAAGTACAGATCTAAGAACTTCAGTATTTCAAAAAGATAATCTCTTTTCTACTTTAAATAGTAAAATCATATCCGTATTCTCTTTTACTTAATATCTTAATTTTTAGATCTAACCTTTATCACCAAAAAATTACTTAAGTCTACCACAACATTTATAGAATAAAAAAAATAACAGTTCTCTAAAAATAACGTCACATACCTTATATTACTTGAAAAAGATATTTTCTTTGAATATAGTAAAATTAGGTTTTTTTAAAAGTTTTTCTCCCTCTCCCAAACTTAAATTTTTCTTAACAAGTTAAAACATTTAGGATAGAAAATATAGAAGTAGGAAGAAAAAAATGATTTTCTATAAAGGGTTTTACACGAAAGTATGCAGGTATTAAAAATAGATATATAACAACAATAGATCTTAATTAATATGTATATAAGAAAAATATTGCTAAGTACAGGAGTTCTCTAAACATAACAAACATAAATAACAACAGTTGTGTAGTAAAACAATCAATAGTGCAGTAAAAACAAACAAAAAGCAGTATAAGCCAATAAGCAGTGTTAAACCCAAATCAAAACAAATCCACAACAACAACTACAACATCTAAGAGTTCAAAAAATCTAGCAACGTTAATAAATACACCTAAAGAAACATAACCCACAACACTCATAACATAAATACTATTCCTCACCATCATCTCCATCTGTGTCATCATCAGTCTTCTCATCCTCATCCATATAGTTCTGTGGTTGATAGTCTGGGAATGGAGCATTTGATGGAAACTGAACATCATGATCTCCTTAAGAAAAACTCATTAGAGATGTATTGAAACTAATATCATAATCATGTTTGAGTTTCAAATATTTTTGAACACGATCAACCTTATCATCGATATCAGTCACTTTACCTTGTAGATGTGTAATATCATGCACCAGTGCCTGATAATCACTGTGAAGATCATCTAGAGTGGTTGAGGATTGAAGAGCAGTATGACCGGACCCACAATTACTCAGATATTTATGTTCCTTAATATGTTTAAAACTTGTCCCAAATGATATTTAGCCGCTAGTGAGAACAAATGTAATTTGATAAAAGTTAAAGAAATAGTTTTCTCACTAGGGGTATTACGCAAGTATACGTATCATTTCAAGTAATATAGAATTTGGTTTAAAATCCTCAGTGTCAATCCCACAGGGAAGCCGAAAACAAGTAAACA